AGGAGTAGAAGGCTTTTACCAAGGAACAGATGGAGCCTTAGAGTTCAGAGGCAGGATTGTTGTGCCAAAAGTCGAGTCCTTGCGAAAGGAGATCTTGACAGAAGCACACAGTGCGCCTTATTTAGCTCACCCTGGAAGCACCAAAATGTATCACGATTTAAAAAAGTCGTTTTGGTGGAAAGGGATGAAGAGAGATGTAGCAGACTTTGTAAGGAAGTGTTTGGTCTGTCAGCAAGTTAAGGCTGAGCACAAGAGTCCATTAGGTCTGTTACAACCACTTGAAATTCCAAAGTGGAAATGGGAAGAAGTTACCATGGATTTTGTTACAGGGCTACCTAAGTTATCTAAGCAGCACGATGCGATTTGGGTAGTAGTGGACAGATTGACGAAAGTTGCACACTTTATGCCTGTAACAATGACCATGTCAATGGACCAGTTAGCCGAAATTTATACTAGTGGAATCATTCGACTCCATGGAGTGCCTGTTACGATCATATCAGATCGAGATCCCAGATTCACTAGCAGATTCTGGGAGAGTTTGCATGAGGCAATGGGCACACAATTGAAGTTTAGTTCGGCTTATCATCCAGAGACAGATGGCCAGTCAGAAAGGACTATTCAGACGCTCGAGGATATGCTCAGAGCTTGCATTTTGGATAGAGGTGCCAAGTGGGAGAAGTGGTTACCATTAGTAGAGTTTGCCTACAATAATAGTTACCACGCATCGATTCAGATGGCTCCTTATGAAGCACTTTATGGCCGTAAGTGTCGTTCGCCTCTTTATTGGGATGATGTTGGAGAGAGACGAGTCCTTGGTCCAAAGTTGATCGAGGAGACAGTTGAGCAAGTAGCCTGGATTCGAGAAAGGCTAAAGACTGCTCAGAGTCGTCAAAAGTCGTCAGCCGATAAGCACAGAAGGGAGATGCAGTTTGAAGTTGGAGATAAAGTATTCTTGAAAGTTCGACCGATGCGAGGTGTCGTTCGTTTCGGGAAGAGAGGCAAGTTGCATCCTCGTTATATAGGTCCATTTGAAGTTCTGGAGCGAGTTGGAGAAGTATCTTATCGCTTAGCTTTACCTCCTGAGTTGTCAAGTGTGCATAATGTTTTTCACGTATCGATGTTACGTGCATACGTATGCGATCCAGAGCATGTGCTTCAGCACAATGAGATTCAGATTCAGCCTGATTTAACTTATGAGGAGCAGCCAGTAGCAGTTTTGGACCGAAAGGTTCATCGGCTCAGGAATCGAGATATTCCCCTCGTTCGTATTAGATGGAATCGCCACGAAGAGTCAAATGCCACTTGGGAGCGGAAGGCTGATATTAGAGCTCGTTTTCCAGATTTTGAGTTCTGATATGTACTCAGAAGGTATGTATCTCAGTTTTAGTATTTCCGAGGGGGCGGAAATAGTTTTAAGAAGGGTAGATTGTAATATCCCATTCAGTAATTCATAAAAGTAATTATTTCAATTCTAAGTTAGAACTATTTTACTTTTATTAATAATGATCTTTTATATTTCCAAGCCTTAATAAATCTCTTAGAATTTTATTTTTCAGTTGGCTCGACATTAAAGTTAAATCGGAATCGTTTTTCATTAAATTGAGTTAGTCGAGAAAATGTTATAAATTGCCTAAGTATTTTATGTGACTTATATTATTTGATTGATAAGTAATAAGGATTAAGTAGAAGTTATTTGGACAAGAAGGTCTATTAAGAGTATATCCGAAATTATATTCGCAAGTTTCGAGTTTTTTTTCGATGTTCGGTTGTAGTCGATAATTAAGTCCGATTTCGTTTCCGAAAAATTTATTTTCTTGTATTTTTTTTTACAAGTTTCAAGATCATTAATAAGAGTTAAAAATTTTCAGCATAAAAAGGAAAAAGGCCAAAAGCAAAAGATGGAAATCTGAAATTTTTAGAATTTTCGATTTTTCGGTAACCATTCGTTTTAATTCATAATTCGGTTCTGTAAATTGGAAATTTTTCATTAAGTCACGAATTTTATCATGGAAATCAGATTAGGATCACATTATGGCCCTTTCTAAGCATTGACTATAGATTTGGAGAAGTTTACAAGTTATGATTTCTATTCTTTATCTTTATTTATTTTATAAAATTTTTTAAGTATTCTTAAGTAATAAATGGGCCATTTCATATTAAATTCGAGCCATAATGAAGGTATGGTCAAATGGAGGAGTTTTGTCTTGATATATGCAAGAGAAATCATGCCTTTCAAGTAATTATCAAAGCTTACTCACATTTGTGCAAGATTTTAGAAAACATTAATGGTAAGGGTCCTAAGGTGTTGTTTATGGTAGAGTATTGAGGTAAAGAAGGTGATGTTGTCTCCTTTGCTACCCTATATAAAGGAGCATCAGCATAGGCTCGAAATTCACATCATAATAAGCAAAGTCTTAGCTAAAGAGGGTAAGAAAGAGAGATAAATCGAGAGAAATCTTGACGAAGATAAGTTGAGATCAACTTCCGAAGTTTCATTTTCAAATTTCTTGAAGAAGGTTAGATGCTACCTTTTTATCATATGTTATAGTTTATATTAAGTGAATATTGATGTATTTTCATGCCATATATATATATTCAATTTTTAAAGAAATTTTAAGCATGAAAAAAAAAATGATAAGTTGTTTCCAGCACAATCACATGTTATATATGTACTGTTTTGATTTGAATTTGAGCATGATATGCATAACCTGGCATGTTAAGCTTATTATGGATATTTCTTGTGTAAGTGCTGAGTATATAGGTGAAAGAATTATGTCATTTGGCATAGTATAGCTTGAGTTATAAATTTTTGAAGTTAAGCATGCAAGTTGAATTTTATGTTCTTTATTTCAGCTGTGACTTTAAAATTGTAATAACTCGATATATACGCATGATAAAATTATGAAATTTTTACGACATGCTTATATATGGGTTAAGAACATGACTGCCAAATTTCATGATTTTATGTTGAGAAATGAACGAGTTAAAATATTTATATGGCATACATGTCAAGATGATTTTATATGCAAGAGTATTCAGTACATGGTTGAGTTTTTAAAATGGAATTTTTAGGAAAAATTCTTATATGAGTGATGAGCAATTTGACCAAGTTTCAGCTCAATATGTTGAGTATGTGATTTTATAAAATTGTTTCAAGTCTAGTATATCAATATCATAATTTATTGTTATGATAAAAACTTGTATTGAATAAGTATCAAGTTTGAGATTTTAATATCAAGCAAGTTTAAGACAAGTTTGATAGATTAAAAATCTGTATAATCATGTATATGATATTGGTAAAAGTTGAGCATGTTTTGAGTTCATGTATTCAATTAAGTCTAATGTGAAATTTAGTTTATTTTCACATACGAGTTATTTAAGTGACATGCGAGTATAAACCAATATCTAAGATTTTGAAAGATATGATTTATATGGGTTAAGTATTTGACCTTAAGTAAAGGTTTAAGAAAAGTTTGGTTTTCAATGATTTAGGATTCATTTGAGAAATAGCATGTTTAATGAGTATTTTTAAGATTCGGATAAGTTATTTGGTAGAGTTAAGAATCCCAACATATTATTGAGTATACGAGCATAATACTTAGTATATTTGTTTATATTGATATGTAGCTTGAGGAGTTAGCTACCAAAGAACAACACTTACGCTTTTCAAAGTTTTAAAAGAAGAAAGGTGGGGACCCAGACTGGGTATTACATTGAGTATAATATTGATATCATGTTCGAGGTATGTATACAGTTTAAGTTTATACACTTGGGATGAAGGCTCCTAGTTGCCTTATCAGTACATCCTATGTTCTGATGGAGGCCATTAGTTGCCTTAGAAATATCCATCAGACTGTGCACAAGTATCCGATCAGATATCGGCCAGATTCAGTTAAGTTACTGGAACAGATTTCCAGTCCAGATATATACCAAAGATCATGATATTGTATTATTATTGCTGTTTACTTTAGTATGGGTGAATTTCAGAGTACAAGAGGATCAGTACTCACCCCCATTGTGTTTTTCAGGTGACAAGGTTGGGCCAGAGGTGTGAGATCGATATGTGGTGGTGGTGGTCGTGCACTTCTTTCAGTGGACATTTATTTTGAACTTGATATGTCTGTATAATTATTCACGTTTTTACGTATTTCCGCTACGCCTATTAAGACTTGAACTTGTATTTTAATAAATTTCAGATTTCAAGTTTTTATAATTTCAGAAGTATGAATATGATATAGTTAAATGCAAGTTTAAATAAATCTATTTTTTTTTTATGTCTAAAGAAGTATTAGACTAAGTTTAAAGATAAACAGATTTTTAGAAAAGATGAGTTTGAGTAGCATCCCGAGTTAGTCGCAAAAGATTTCGAAAGAATTATAAGTATTTTCGAAGTAAAAGTTGCGAAAAATTTACTCTGATGAGCTGGGTGTTACATTAGTTCTCTATAGTTGCTAGGTTAGTTCTCTGTAGTTGCTAGGTTAGTTGTCTGTAGTTGCTAAGAGCTGGTCCCATTTTAAGAGCTGGGCGCATTTTAAGAGCTGGTCTCATTTGATCCGCCCCCTATATATATATATATATA